GCGCCCAAAGTCTCGCCAAAATGTAACGCTTATCTGGTCGGCAAAGTTTTTGCCACCCGGTAAAGCATTTTACACTTAAATTTGTCCAGATAACTCAGCAATCCAGAGTTTGTTTTTAGTTGTTGGTCAAAGCTTTGACCCGTGACGTTTAGGACAATCTCCCACAATTAACGCAAACGGTCTCATCATAGCCCAAATAACCAAAAATAAGAGTCACAATGTATTAAGATAACTTAAATTGGATTGTGAATTGGATTGAAAATTAAAGTACCGATATTCCTAATTACTATCAGAGAAATGACGTAACTACCCAACGGCCGTTGGACGGATAATCGAAAGGGTCGGATTAATCGAGGGTCGGGCCCAACAGTCGTTAGCGCGGAAGCAAGGGCTATCCCGCCATTAGTCGGAGGAATAGGGTGACTCCCCAATTGTCGTTGGACAGATAATCGGTAAGAGTCGGATTAATCCAGGTTCGGTCCCAACAGTTGTTGGATGGATAATAATAATAAAGCTTTAAGTAATACAATTATAGAAAAAAATTATTTTTAAAATGTGGACATCAAAACTTAAATCACTTATTGTTAATTAAAGAAAAACAGTTTGCTTAAACTCGTGAAGAAATATACACACCCAAGAGAAGACCAAAACTTCTGTGAGTGGGTGGGAGTCTCAACTTATACTTAACAACAACAAAATTTCTCTGAAAAGGATAACAAAATGAATTATAAATTAAATTAAACCTTTAGTCCAAAATTTTTGTGGAAAAGAAAACAAAGAAAAACAAAATTCACCATTAGAAGTGAAACGAAAGTAGGCCTACGTAACTATAATAATGAGAAAATTTTAAGAAGTTGAAGGAAACAATGAAAACACAGACTCTGAAATACAGATACTTACAAAGATCCTAATGAAAATACAAATAATCGAATGGGTTGTGAACTGTAAGGTCGATCCCAACGGTCGTTGGACGGAAAATCAAATGGGTTGTAAACTGTGAGGTCGGTCCCAACGGTCGTTGGATCGGAAGTGAGGGCTATCCCGAGGGTAATAGGTAAGGTTAGGGTTACTTCCCAACGGTTGTTGGATGGATAATCGAATGGGTCATTAAATCTAAAGTCGGTCCCAACAGTCTTTGGTTTGGATAGTAAGAATATCAAGTTTTGAAAATTGTTCTTTAACTGGAGTTCTTCAATCTTGAATGTTTAACATGATGCAAAGTGCTTGGTTTTTAAATGATAATATTTGTTCCAAATTTTCTGGAGAGGTTGCTCCATATAAAGTTATGCCAAAAGAGATGTGACAGTGAATAAACACAAAGTAAATTATTTTTAATGGTTCCAAAGGACATAATTATAATTTTCAACACTAAAAGAAGGTACCTTTACTGTACTGTATTTAGTTTTGTTTTTTTGTTTACAAAAGAAATAATATTTTTCCTAATACTGCATGGAAATGATCACATTGCCACACCTATAAACAGTACGCAAAATAGCTCATTCGCGCTTCATTCAAATTCTATAGCTAGCGTTTGCCAGTGGAAACGACTATTCCCCCTTGCTAAATCAACTGATTTCACTGTTGGCGTTCCTATAAAACACATTCGGTAAGCAAACAAAATAACCTCAAAAAACATAGCATTACCTAAATAGTGTTTTATATACTACTAAAACATTAATCTGTCTGTTGTGATAGGTTAATTATTATGGTGGTAGAAAAAATCTTGTGTGTATTACGAGCACAAACAGTTACTGCCGCTCTCCAAATGTATGGTCACGCTCAGTTAATGCTTTATGGCAACAGGTCTAGAAAGCGTAGGGAGTTTTGAATGGTTATTTCTTAACTTAAATGTAACGTTAAATCTGGTTACGGTATCCATAAAACTTTATAAAGGAAATTTCTAAAAACTTATTATTAAGAATTGTTTGATATATTTCACATAAAAACAACTGCAGGTTAAACACTACAACACATGTTAGTGTTAGCATGATTGAGCCTAATTGCTGAAGTATCACCAGGTTGGATCAGTCATTTTAATTTCATAATTCTCTTGGTAGCCAATTGGTCTTAAAATTTGTTTATTTTAATTACATGAATAGCCTAAATAAACATGTCACTCATTTCTTGTTTAAGTAAGTTAGTTTCCTTAAGATCTATTGCCCTATTAATGGCCATTAATTCAATAAATGAACATTATAGGCTATAGAAGTAAATTTTATTGATCGAGACTCAGTTCTATCCAAATATTGCTTACAATGGTTAGAGGCGGTAGCAAGTATTTATAGGGGACAGTAACTAACCTTAACTTTATGTATTTAATTTAATTATTTAAATTAAATTAAATTTAAAAATTTAAAGCTTTTAAAATTTTTTTTAAATCTTAAATTTAAAATTTAAATAATTATTTAATTATTTTAGTGGAAACTTCTAAAAGAAAATGCATGGTAAGATTTGTCAGAAAAGTGCCATCATGGCATTGTAAATTAAATATTTGTTGAGAAAATTAATCAAATGAAGAACTTCCAACAAAAAACAGCAAATGAAAGATTTTCTTGGTATGCTATAGCCTATTACTTTTGCTAAGTCAGGCATAATTGGTTATTTTATATTTGGCATTAAACATATAGCATAATTGGTTAGTATAGCGCCTAAATGACCAATGGTGGTGTAGGCCTGTACTAGCAATCTATTTAATAAAACAGGCATATTAAAAAAACAAATAGGTAAGGAATTTACCTATAAGAATAAACAGCTTTTGATAGCTCAAGAAGGCCATTTGTGAGGTTATGGCAGATCAGTTTCTGAAGTATATTAATTGCTGACTCTTATTTTTTAATTTTTATTACCTCTTATAGTTTAAAGCTTAAACAATATGGTGTGCTAAGTAAATCATTCAACTCACCGTTCACGATCACTATGTTTTTTGTCTAAAGCCCACTTTGAAATTGATGTAGCCATATTTTGTTTACTGAAATGTTATTATTATATTTTTTTTATTGACAACTAGACAACAGTCAACAGTGCTCAGTGCTGTTGCTGTTGATAGTTGATGTCTGCTTTCGACGTGTGAAATAACAGTGTTGCCACTAACACATTAAAATAGTAAAAAAAAATGGCAAGGCATACTGTATACAGTGATGTTTTAATAATTGTTTATTTATGTGACTGTCTACCCCATTGGGAGTATGGAAAAACGACAGTTTCTTTTAAACAGAAGCAGACCAGATTCCTCAAATTTAGTAAATGTGCTGGGGCCTGGGGATTGAACCAGTCCTCCCACTGAATTATTTATTTCCAATAACTCAATAACTCGTTTATTGAGCCAAGAAGATACAATTACATGTATAGGTTTGGTCAAAATAATATTATCCATACGAACGTAAAGTAATAATTCTTAATCTTATTACCTTATTACATCCTCCTCGGCCTGATACCAACAAAGCTGGATAGGCTGCGTCAAGAATATTTACAATAAAAAATAAAACTTATATTTACAGTATGTACAGGCCTCCATTTATTGACGGATTTTTGTATGGTCAATAAGACGAAAAAATAAATAAACTTAAATTGCGGTGGATTTAAAGGCCTGTGAGGTCGACCTAAAAGAACTCCTAGAGAGAGCAGTAAGGCCGAGCTTTCAACCAACACTTTTTTAAGAGGTTGGCGCCCTCTTTAACCTTGCATTTGCCCGTCCACATAGACTATAGATCTGTGCGTGGAACGTATCCAGCAAAGCAAGGGGTGAGCCGGTATATTACAAAGGTGAACTGTACTTACTGATAAAAGTTTGTGGCAGTGACTAGGATCCGAACCCACGACACTGCTGCCTTGGGCCCGAAGTCCGCGACGCTACCAACTGAGCCACCGACACACCAAACTTAAACCTGGCTTGTAACTGATTGTGGTTCAAATGCCTAACAGCAACCGGCAACTTATTGGTCAGTCTGAGGGCCATGACTATTGACTGGAAAAGCGTCTTTTGTCCTGCTGAGCCTTACAATAGGGTACATCAATCGTGATTTTTGCGCCTGGTGTTATGCGCATGCCCCTGTTGTCTGGTGGTAAAGGTGTGCACATTGGAGTGGACGTAGCTTTGAGCTGACACATTGAAGGATGTAGTTTGCTGTATATATGGTGAATATGCCCCAGTCAGCAAATATAGGCTTGCAATGCTCCTGTCGCCCAGCCTTCTTTCATGTCCTCTATGTTTGGAAGAACTGATCTCGGAGTTGGTGACAATTTAGAGTTGGAATATCGCAGTTTCAGACAAAAAATAAACAATGTAAAATCTAAACTGGCATTTCTTTTCTATTTGTTTGTTAGTTTTATCATTTTGGTAAACAAATAGATTTTAGTGCGTTACTGGGATGTAACGATCTTGAAACCCATCTTTCCCTTCCTCGCAACTCTGCGTAACAATAAGCCAAACCCCTCCCCATCATTGAGCGTTACGTAATATGTGGACGACCCGTTATCTGTTTTACCATGTCTCCATCTTTAACCCAAAAGGGATTGATGGCGTGAAAACTTTCAAATCACACGAATTTCATACATTTATTACAAACTTACATAAATACAAAACATACCTTTACAACTTTGTCATGTATATAGAGATAGGTGGATCAGTAGAAAAATTCTGAAAATGTTTCTTTGAAAAAATATTTTGAAAAGGGACATGATTATATATTTACAACCATAACTACTTGTAACTTTAGTTTATTATGAAATGGGGCCCTGGTCTCGTGGATAAAAATTTTGCACCCTTAGGCAGTGAGTGAAAAAAAACAACACTCACTGCATGAGTCTGGCCGTCTGGCCTCACCGAGTGCTACTTTCACTGGCCTTTTTCGACTCCGTCTTCGACTTCTGAATCTGACTTATTCTTATTTCCGGCCGAGAAAGAGACCAACCAACAACAATTATTAACCTAACCTCTATTCTCTTGCTCTTGCTCTTCTCAACCCGAACTCGTTGCTCAATGCTCACTCATCGACCATCGTGATCGTGCGTGGTGGTTGCCGGTTTGTGGTTGTTCGATTTGTGGTTATTTTCGAAGTTTTGATATTATGTGGCTAGGTTCAATTCAATAGTTATATCTCAAGAGCGGCATTTGTCTTGCAAGTATAACCTACTTTCAAATCATATCAAAAATGGTAAAGCTCAAACCCCCAACTTCGCCAAAGATAACCAAGAAGAAAAGTTCTTTAGGGAAAACAGAAAACATCAAAAGTAAGACAATAATGAAACCACCAGGCAGACAACGTAGGAGGAGAGGAATTCAAAAGAAAACGGTAAGCTATGTAAAGGTCCTAAGTTAGATTAATTCATCTTTAAGTTCCTTACTTGCAGCTAATAGCCGTTTCCTATCACCTTATTAACACGTTTTAAATCATTTTACTGGTAGCCTAACTTAGGCCTACTGCAACTTAAGTCAGCACTACTTATTGGGAAAAATATTGTAAAATAAAATCCAACTAACCTAGCTTAGCTTAGGCCTAGGCATCTATCAGAATATTAAAATCAGCCAGTAAAATGTAACAATAAAGCTTACAACTAGGCTAGCCTAGGAAACTTAGGCCCTCACCCAGGTATTAAGTTGGGGGCCTATCCAGATTCCACTTGAGTTATTTTAGAGTGATTTTTTTTTACCGGAGACCAAAAATATCTACAGAATTGGATAAGTCATACTTTAATTGACTTACTGTCCGAATATGACATGATTACTATTGGCGGCATTGAAGTTCTGCCTTCCAGAAGGCAGCGATGTCGGTGAGGATTGAGTTGTATGCGTCGCATCCGTTACACTTTGCCAAGTAGGTACTGGTAAACAGTGCGCTGCGGCGTTTATGTTAGGTTGGGTTGTCATAAATATATTAGTAAGACTTTCCTCGTTTCGTTATGAATTAAATGATTCAAGATGAGTCATACTTTGGCCCGCCAAATATCCCAGATACAAGCGGTGACAGGTGATGCGCGCGCTCCGGTCAACGACCTGACCTTGGCCTACTTGGAGGGGATTTGGAGTGTGAACGTATGACTCATCTGGTATCGTTTGATTAATAATTAAACGAGGAAAGTCCTACTGACATACCTATCTATAAACCCAACGAAACATAACTGCCGCAGCCCGCTGTATAAGGGTGGCCTCTGGATAATACCAAAGTACCCCCAGTCTATTCGGAATCTTAGGTCATTGGCAAAAAAAAAAATACACCATCCCTGACATAGGCCTGAACATTGCACCGAGCAGGAAATAATTTTTTCAAAGTACAGGTAAACTTACAGTGCCCGCTTTTTTTTAAATATGTAGGCCTAAGGATAGTAGGCCTATATTGCAGTGTCTTAAACCAAGTGTTATGATTGGACAAAAACCGTTTGGAGATAACAGGCCATTACTGAGTTACGACTTGGTTCATTACAATATAAATTACCTTACCTTATGATAGCTCTCGGATGATAACTTCTAACAAGACTCGGTTTAAGCTTTTTGTATACTGGAACGGTGTTGGAAACCTTTAACCTCATCGGGAAGATCCCACAGTACAAGCACTTATTGAAAGTGTCATAATACCATACTCTTGAGAAAGGCAATGGACATAAGTTACTAGCCTATAAATATCCGTAGGCTACTTGGTGAGGCCTTAAAGTTTTTTACAATATTCGAAATATCAGATGGGGTATTCAAAATATCAGTATATCCAATTGGAAAACTGACACTTTGCTACTTCAACATTTTGTGTTAGCATGGCAGTCAGGGGATATCATTAACTACTGTAAATATATAACACTGTAAAATATCATACTGTTGAGTACCTACCTCTGCAAAGTAAACATTTACACCATCAGGGCTGGATGAACATTCCATGACAGATGCAGCACACTGCTTTGGTTAATAGTATTCTACGTGGCTTTACAAGGGTTAACTCATAGGCACTGTCAATAAAACCTCATGGACTTTGAAGATACAAGGCTTGCATTCTATCACGTCCCACACAACAGGTTGGCTGTTTGACACAGGACATGAAGGTAGCCTACAGAGCCCATCATTTAGGCTATACATTTTCAGCTCATCAGTGTAATATTCAGGAAGATCGCTTAACCCTTATAGTGAAAAGAATAAAAAAGAGAAGAATTTTTTTGAAATTTCAAAAGATATAATTTGTATTTTCCGTACTATCTTATTGTGATGGTTCGCCATTCGTTATAAATTTTGAAAACAGCTGTTTTCATAAAATCGTAACTTGTCCAATCAATATTTGGTTCTAAAAGTCAATACCACAATAAACTCAATGGCTATCCAGTGAGTAGTACTCACCCGCAACATCACAAGACAAAAATTACCCTAGCCAATAGAGTCATAGAGTTAGAGCCAATAAGAGGGCCACATTAGAATCACCAGCAACAACATGTGTTGTTGGTCGATGTCACAAAATTTAGACAGTTGTCAAACAAGTCGAGAAACAAATCAAAGTTACTATTATTGGATCTATATACAGATAAGAACAAAATTTCCAGTCACTTCAAAATTAAATTCCATGCAAAATGTAGAAAGATCTAAAACTTGACTTTTCATGTTTTTTTTTTAGAATACCAATATGTATATATCCACACCACTTTTTTGTGCACATTTCTACACCAAGAGTTAGCCAGGATTAGTTCACTTCTTATATATTTAAATATGTATTTAAATATATATTACTCTCCTTACAATACTCTCTATGATCAATTCTTTATAAATCTTGGTTGCCCCTGGGTTGGAAGAACTAGAGAACAATAATAAACAACAGAGCGTTTGGCAGTGGAAGTTTGATGTTAATAAATAATGAGTGGGGGCCCTGTGGAAATAAAATTATTCCCAGAGATCCTCAGGGGACGTCCCTGATACTGTTTGAAGTTCTTCCAAAGCTGAAATCGATCTTAAATGTACATTGACTCTACTTTGCGCACTACCACACTATTTTTAGTGTTGCACTTCAATGTGAATCTTTTGTACCTAGTGGCTTCTTATTTACTATATTACCAAAATTCTATTGAATTAATTTGTATGACACTAAGAATGAAACACCAAGGTTATTGACAACTATGAAAACACATAACAATTTTATTTATTACGCTGTGTACCCTTTTTTTTTATGACAGAATGCTGTGCTGGTTTCCTTTATAATTTTTAACGTTTCATTAACACTTTAAAGATGTTTTATTTTGATTCTCAAACCATGAGTGCAATGGCTATTGTTGCTTTTGTTTTACTTAAAATTATTGAAATAATCCCTCGGTAAGAGAAGTGTTTGATGCGGTTACGATCCGATCACGGCAATGACAATGGGGTGTGAATTTAATTTAATATTGAGATGACCAGTACTACAAATCCTCCTCGTTGGCCAACGAATATCAATTGAAGGTCGTGTCTCATAGTCCAACTTGTTACACAGTGAAACTGTTTGTAACTTTATATAATGTGTTGAAAGATTGTTTATTATTTATGGCTAAACAGTACTATGGCGGTTCATCTATGGTAAAACACACACGACCCCATATGACGTTGTCGCACCTTTCTCGAAGCTGCTATCCACTTCAACTTCAGATTAAAAATTCTTTTAAACCCCTAATAAATAACATTAGCTGTCACACTCTCAATAAACTTTCGTTTGAATGGAACGGCAAAGTAGGCTAAAGATAATGATTTTACAAACATTTGTGCTACTATAAAATTCTTAGCAAGTAACTCTGAATTACTCTACAAACACATTTTCATTTATTTAACCTTAATATCGTTAGATTACTACTGTTTACTATATTAATACTGATTGACTGTCTTAACAACGGATATAAAAATCACCTGTAAGAACTTAAACCTGAAAACATGTGCTCATATAACAAGAAATAACAAACTATAACAGGAAAATTTACCACATGTGCGATTCACTGAATAATATAACTACAACAATTATGAACATAGATTACTTACAAATTTGGACGTCCAACACTGAAAGACACACAGGGATAGGTACCGGTAAGGAAAACTAGAAATTAATTGAGCTTACCAAAAACGCGATTGAATTGGTTTGATTGACGAACGTGAAATTTCCAACACTTGTTTCTCAAAACTGATTTTATTTCCACCTCTCGCAGCAAGTATATCCCTGCGGGATATAGGCTTAAAGATTTAATGAAAATATGAATTGACCGACTAACACCGCGAATGAATTTAATTTGCACGAAACGATTTTTTTAGCTCACCTAATTACGGGGGAGACGGGAAACGACTGACTGACGGTCTGTCTGGCTGGGCCGATAGCTCATCCCTTCCACTCGTAGCATGTGCATTGTGGGTATCGTTGTCTATTGTATAATCAGCTGACTGATTGTTCGCGTCTACTTGTAGGTAGGCTAATTTGTTGTATAATACAACAAAATCGGTACAGATTTTATGGCAATGAGGATGTGTTGCCGCAGTTAAGTCCTAGTCCATTTTTATTTGATTCACTCTTGCTTAAAAATGGTTGTTCTATTCTGGTAGCGTTTTCATGAATAGGTTTGTAGTCACTTACTAAAATACCAGTAGGGTCTAGGCCACATTTCTGCCTTCAAGACATTTTCCTTATCTTCATATTTGACAGAAATTTTAAACTTCACATCCTGGGAATTTTGTTTTAACCTCCTGACAGTAAACTTCATTGATGTCGTTCTCCTTTAAATGTTCCTTAATATGTTCAGTTTGTGTCTCCAAGGCTAGCCCAGTGACAAAAATTTGACACATTTTCAAGGCTGGTTCTAGCTTCGAGGATGTTTTCCCAGTTTCATTAATATATTTATTTTGCACCAAGTTTTTCGCTGTTAAATTATGTTTATTAAATTGCGTTAATTTTCTTATTTTAGCTTTAAAACTATCGTCGTTGTTAGGTAGTGGGCCTAGCTTGACTACTTCATTGTAGGTTAACTGTTTGGTTCTATCACCTGTTGGAATTAAAACCATAATAGTTTTTTCTGCCAGGGGCTGACTGTTATTTTCAGATACCGCACACTAATTACAGATTCACTTTGCGTTATTGATACTTGATGTCTTCGTCTTTGACCCAGCTTGTGGGGTTGACTGCGTCAGATGCCTTTCGGCTATTTCTTTCCCGTGAATAGTGGGATTCCTTCTTCATCATTCAGGGTGATACTGGCCATTCTAAAAGTTCATGTTTGATGAGGTTCATGAAATTTGAGGTTGTGAGGCTTTTCACGTCAGCTGGGAGGCTGTTGAACAGTTTTATGGATGTAATTGGAAAGGAATTTTGTGTTTTGCTCAGCCTGCATCTTTGGACTTCCAGATTTTGAGCTTTATGAGTTGTTGGTGTATGATAGTTTTGTCATTAAAATGATTTATATTCCGTTTGATGTAATTTAGAGAGTTGAAAATATACTGGTTATATACTGTGAAGATTCTAAACTTTTTAAAAAGAGGTTTACAGTGTTCAAGGTCATGAGTCGAAGCCATAACTCTTAGCACCTTCTTCTTCAGAATAAGGGCATCACCGCAGGCAGCCGAGTGTCCCCACAACAGAAGATTATAGTTCAAATGACTGTGGAACAAGGCATGATAGATTCCCAGAAGGTGATCCACAGTCAACACCTTTGTCAATTTCCTTAGAAGACAAATTACTCTTGATAATTTTGAACAGACCTTGGCCACATGAAAGTTCCAATCAAGCCTGTTCTCCAGCTAGAAGCCTAGAACTTTGACTGGTTCATTGTTCCCTGCTGGAATTTCTCTTTTTAGAGACAATAATATTCTTTGAGTCTTATCTTCATTTAGTTTTAACTTATTGCTCTGGAACCAGTTTTTAGCAGAGGTGAAGGTTTCATTGGCATCTGACAGAATGTTTTCAACGCTTAATCCTCTGTTTACTAAGGTTGAGTCATCGGCAAGAAGAAGGGTTTTTCCATTCAGGTCCAGGTCATTTATGTGTATAATAAAGAGCAGAGGGCCAAGAATACTTCCCTGCGGGACGCCATGCTCCACAGGCCTACATTCGAAGACAGCTCCCTCCAAGGACACTATCTGCTTATGGTTGTCTAAGTAGTCAGTAAGCATGTGGAGTGCAACGCTACTAACTCCATAGTCTGACAGCTTCCTGAGCAAAATCTTGTGGCTGACACAGTCAAATGCCTTACTGAGGTCACACATAGTTAAGGCAAGAATACCTCCCTCCTCAAAGGTGTTGTTTGCATGCTCCATGAGGGATATCAGAGCAGTGACAGTTGACCTATCCCTCCGAAATCCATGTTGAGAGGTAGAAAGGAGGAGGTTATTGTCCTCAAAGTAATCAAGCAGCTGAGATTTGATGATGGACTCAAGTATCTTGGAGAGTACCGGCAATATAGAAATAGGTCGGTAGTTTGAAATTACACTAAAATCACCTTTTTATGAATTGGAACCATTCTAGCAATCTTCAGACACTCAGGGAAGACCCCCTTAACCAAGCATAGGTTTATCAGTTCTGTGAGTGGATCTATTATATGATGTATAATTGATTTTAAGATATGGCAAGAAATACCGTAGTAGTCGGGACTGGAAGAGTTCTTGAAATTTTCAACTACGGTATATTGAGTCTTTGATTGGGACTCACCATGTTGAATTGACTCAGCGTACATTCTGTGGTTCTTACATTGGTTCCGTCACTGTTCCATACCTCTCCGCTGGGGTCCTCGGCCAATGACTGCACATGCACAATCTCCTCCACTGACCTGATGAAAAAGTTGTTGAAATCGTCAGGGCTATTAACAGAGCTTGGTACATCCGGTTTAGGTGAATTGATCTTAACAATGTCCCACGCAGCTTTGCATTTGTTTGGATACGCTTCAATGTAGCTCATATTTGCTTTTTTCTTAGCTTCCTGCACCTTGATTCTGTAAGATTTTTTTGCCTTCAAATAGAGTGAAAACAGCCTATCCTTATTTCCACTACTATTTTCATACTTTTGTATCTGTCATGTACGGCTTTTACATAGTTAGGCCTACTATGTTTTTTGAGATCTGGTGTATACCAGGATTTTTCTATTAGGCCTATTTTATTTTTGTCTGGTTTACTGCTACTGGAAGATTTCTTATGATAATTTTTACATGGAAATACTGTGTTAAAATTTAAAATAAGTATTTTAAGGAACTGATCGAGAGCATAGCTTGGATCCTGACTTAGCATGTTATTTTGCCATTGCGTGTTGGCCAATTCTCTCTGGAGCAAAGGAATATTTTCACTCTTTACAATTCTTTTTGAAAAAAATATAATGTTTATGCCAAGAATGATTAGACTGGGTGCTTACCAGGGCAGCATCCAAGTTCACCTCCATTACAACAGGAAGGTGGCCAGCAACCAGCGCGTCCACTATCAACACCCTGTAGTCCCAGGAATCCAGATTGGTGGCCACAGTGTCAAGGCAGGCCTCCCCACTGGTAGGTAGCCTATTGCCAATGAACAGGCCAAAAGATCGTAGGTGGTTGATGAAAGTGGTCTCTTCTTTGGATAGGGTCTCCAGGTGTATGTTAAGGTCGCCTAGTATTATAATTTTAGACGATTTTCTTGCTAAAAAAATTATACATTTCTCCAAGAGCTCAATAAAGTAATTTAAATTAAATTCTTCATAAGTAATTAAATTCCCCATCGGGTGACCGGTAGACTGAGTTAATTAGGATACTCGAGTTTTCCAGATCTAGTTCAACTCCTAAAAGTTCCGGTGTTTTTTCAACACAATAGGCACTCAAGTCAACAGTTTTAAAACTTAAGGCAGGCGAGAAAGCCTCCATTTTTAAATGAAGATCTGGTGAAGGCAGTTGCCAGGTTTAGGTCTGATATTCTAGTATAAAATTCTAGCTCATCCTTGACTAGCCAATGCTCAGAAAGGCAGAGCACGCCTGGTTTCTCATCACTAATAAAAAAGGATAACGATTCCATTTTGTTCCTCAGACACTGAACATTTAAAGAAGATATAATAGTTTTACTATTTACATTTATATTTACATTAGGCCAGGTATCAAACCTATCTAGGCTATCTAGGCCACCTTTTTTATTAACTAGCCCCAGGCCTAGTGCCTGGCTGGGCGTGCCCAGTTTTTTGGTGTCGTTCTTTTAGGAGTGTATTTACAAAGGATTGTACCCATAGGCCACAAGTCTCCACTCAATATTTTGTCTCTCAGATTACTAGGTATACCAACCTTAAACGAGCTGTAGGTTTTATATCTTGTCTCCAGTCAAAAGAACTAACATTTAAGTAGGCCTACATCAAAGCGTTGTTGCACGATTAAATTAATACAGACAAAATAAAAAAAACTTAAACTTAAAAATTTATATCATTCTTATAGAAAAATAAATGAACTGTTGTAGTTTGCTTTTTTATGGATTGCCTAGAAGTTAAATTTTGATCTAATATGACAAGCTGTTAACATTTCCTAAAACCCACTCTATTCCTTTCTCACCAGCAAACCTAAGTACTTGTAAAATCTAATCTAATTATATTTAAATAGGTAATAAATCTAACACATTTTAAATGTAGTAAATATTAAATTAGGCGAATGGATATTCACCCAGTCTACAGGTTTGCTGCTGCATTGTTTCTACCAACAAGAGTCCTGTCACAAGATGTCCAAGGAAGAGGAAGTATACTGTAAAACTTCCTTGTTTAAAGCTAAGCCTATTTATTAGGTGCCAAAGCAAAGTGAAATTACTGTTGTAAAATCTATCTTTAAAGTGCAATTCCAAACATTTCATTTCAGAAAAGAGATCCGACTGGTGTTGTATATCTAAGTCACATTCCACATGGATTCTACGAAGAGCAAATTGAAGGTTACTTCAGTCAGTTTGGAAAAGTCACTGGCGTCAATGTCCCTAGAAGCAAGGTGGGTAAACATAGTCACCTACAAAAGGTATGTCTTTGTCAGTCTTTGTATAAAAGGACTGTCCTATTAGTGACCTACAAGTGCATTGTTTGGAGGCTTGAAGGTTAGACGCTTTCTGTCCTATTACCGCAAAATCACTACTCGTGGTTTTAGTACCAGTACTGTATTTAACAGGCATGCCACGTATTGAAATGATTTTAAGCTCCTGTAAGCTGAGAGTCGAGCTATAAAATAGTTTAGGCACCTCTTTTGACTGTGAATAAATCTTTGGCTTGTGACCTACAATGCCAGGAATGTAAATTTGTTGGATATTTTCATCCTGGCATCACTTTATTGGTGTAGCGACCATTGTATTTGGAGGTTTGCTAGAACTGATGTGCCAATTGTTCAACCCGATTGCTGAACAATATTTCAATTCAATATAAAGATTAATTTACCTTGCACGTTTTTAGTCTTATGAAAAACAGTCAAATTAGCCTATTGTTACTTTCTGATTATGCGACCCATTATTAAATCTAACATCAAATAGAAATAGAAGACAATTTAATACAAATGACAAACGTCTTCATTATCAGACACTCATAACACAATGTAAACAAACTTAAAAGACTCAAGGCTGGTCACATAAGAATTTTAGACAAACCAACACAGGTCGTATAACAGACTCAATAACGTGATCAGTTCAATCTCAACCTATGATGTGTCAGAAAGTGTGGTGGATGAAACAGGTTTATTCAAGCTTTTGTTAATACTAACTGTAATAGTTCTTTAATTTCAGAGTGGAAGAGCCAAAGGATATGCATTTATTGAGTACAAGTACCCAGAAATTGCTCAAATTGCGGCAGACACGATGAACAACTATTTGATGATGAATCGTCTGATGAAAGGTAGTTAAGAATGCGTTAATAAATGCACACAGTGAAAACATGTAACATGTTTATTGACTATTAAAAAGTAAACCTCTTTGTAAAATGTATAATGAATAGCTGAAGAATGTAAAAGTATAAATAATAACAATATGTCTTAACTATTATTTTAGATGACATATTCATTAAACATATGACAGGGACTATTCTAGATAACTAAACGATTAAAACTTCAAATTGGAGATGAAATAGCTAAAAAAAATGTCCCGATAAAATTGTGCACGATTTGCCAAAAGTGAAGGTATGGTATGAATTAATGTATGACCAAGTGATAGGACCAAAAGGTATGAAAAAACGTTGTTCTTTTCCCTTCAATTTGATGTCAAATCTTATAATTATCTGTATTAGTCCCTGAGAAACGGCCGTTCAAAATCTAGGCATTCTCTTTCTGAGACCCTTGTATTTTATTCTCACTCTCAGTTACATGCATATTCACAGTTACAATCACATTCTTGTATATATATTTGTCACATATAGGCAAATGGCATTCAATTAGTAAAGCCAAAATTCCAGAATTGATGTTACAATAAAACAATTGTTGGAGATTCCAACGAAAGAAGAAATTAAATCACCATACTAGCCCCATGTGTATATATATACATCTTGAGCATTTGGCTATTGTATTTGGTAAATCCTGTTTAACATTTTTCAAAGCACTTTAACCTAGATCTATAATCTTAATCAATAATCACACTCTAACATTATACTCCTACAATAATAGCAAAAACAATTGATTTCTGTTTCATTGTAATCATTTTGTTCTAACAATTATATCCATAAATTGTTTACAAAACTGGGACAAAAAACTAGATTAGAACCGGATACTGAGAAGAGATCAAACATGGGCCTAGTGTTTTGTTGTTGTTTTATTAGTAAATTTCTAGATTGTCTTTTTTTAGATTGACATTTTACATCATTCTGAGGCCTGTTAAATTATCACGTTTTTAACGTTTATAAAGAAATGGGTCATGAAGTTAATTAGTATTATTAATGGCTTACAGATAGAGGAAGACAATATTTAATTACATATAAGGAAAACTACTATACCTAGTTGGTATGATGGACTCCTGACCATCCTTCTACCAGGGGACTTACTAATACAGTCTAACCTTGGTATAACAAACCTTGATATAATAAATTCCTTGATAGAACAACATTTTTTAAATCCTTAAGAACACTCCAAAAGACTCAATGTATATTTTACCTCTACACAACGAACAAACCATATCAATAACCTTGGTTTAACAAATTTTTGATGATCCCAGCTAAAATAAGACACCTCAATATAGCAAATTTATCATTGTCAGAACCCATACATAGCGAAAATAACCTCTACATAACGAATTGTCCGTTTCTTTCCCTCGATATAACGAACTCCCCCCACATTATTGCTTTTGAAAAATCACAGTTTCTTGATGAATATAAAATTGTAAGACGTCAATGTTTGGGCAACATTTGTCTGCACAGTTTTTCACATCTTTCTGCCGTGTGCGTCACAATTAATTTCATTCACTGAAGACTGATGACCGAGATCTTGTTCCTGAACCTCGACTTGGCAAAATTCCTGCAAACCTAATCTCAATACAACGAACCTCGTTTTAACGAAATCCTTGATATAACAAATATTCAGTTTGGCCCTTTAAGATTCGTTATACCGAGGTTGGACTGTAAATGGTTTACGGCCCAGGCTGTTCCCAACTGAGGGTCAGGAGACCATCATACAGACTATTAAATTTTGCAAACACCCTTTATTCAAATAATATGTACTTTACCAGAAATATTTTTTTCAGCAAAGTACATCCCTCCTGACAAGCAGAAACCTAAACTTTTCCACTTAGCAAAACTAGCCCGACAAAACAATGAAACACTCGCAAAGAAAGCAGAACTCGCAATCAAGCATAACCGAAAAGTAAAAAATCGTTATTTGAAAATGTCTCTAACAGTTAACAAGATAAATGGCTTGCTGAAGAGGAAGGAGCTGTTGGCTAAGCGGATGCAAGATTCAGGATTGAATGCTAATTTTGAGGTAAGTTAAAATTAAAACGTGTGTCAAATCACCTTAGCAAATTTTCTTAAATGGAAGGACATATTACCATGGCTAACACATAGTCGATGATTGCCAAAAAAAGCCTTTGTAAGTTAAATGTACAGTATAAGTTATTTCTTAACCCATTCCAAAAATTACAAATCTTCCTAATACCAAACAGCAACTTCCCAATACTGGATTGTCGCTGCTTAATACCGAAGGGCTATCCCGCCGGTGCTCAGAAAGCCTGAAAATATGTCAGCCTAAAGCTTGTTTTAGTCTCATTCAATTATTAAATTATATCTCATACCAGATATAAATACAACACAGGAACTCTTTGTTTTTATAGCATACTTAAGGAATGTCCCTAAATCAGTTGGTATTGGTTAGACATTCCCTGGAATGTAAATCATGTAAGGGAAGATGGGATGTATTGACCTCAGGTATGTTTTTGCATATATCAATATAAACTGGGACAGAATTATGTCATGGCTATATATACTTTATAAATGTCGAGGGGCTAACATGATGCCAGGTCAGCTGGTATTGGTATGGCATTCCCAGTAATGTGGATCATGAAGGGGAGATGCTCGGGTTTATTGACCTCTGGTTTGTTTTTTGCTTAGTAATACTTGATAAGCACACAACTTTTTTGGAATTTGAAAAGTATACCTGTGAGGTACCAAAGTTTAAGGGGGGTAAAAACGTACTGCTAGTCAACAAACACCATAACTTACCCGATTTTTATCCACAACATCCTACTCCTAGGCCTATGTGTTGGCCATAGCTTGGGCTATGGGCCAAAGAACGTAGGCCTATTTTTATTCACAGTGAAGTACACAAACACATCCACAACTACATATTTATTCATAATAGCACTCCTTTTCACCATACAAAGTTAAACCGACCGATTTTGAAATGAAATGAAATTAATGAAATGAAAAAGTGCTTTATTTACACAAAAATAAACTGCATAAATACATATGAACTTATAACTAAACATAATCTTCTGCATAACAACACAAAATTAAAAATAAACCGACCGATTTTACAAGTATTTATCACCGACAACGACGACCTAACCTAAAACTGGTGTTTGTTGATTGACGACAGACGATAACTAGACCGATTCCCCGATCAGCTGTTGGCTAGTTTCCAAAATCGCCACCGCAGCGCTTGAGCCGCGGCCGAGGAAATCAGGATTTGAGCCGGACAAGAATTATTCGCTGTTTGACCGCCGACTAGCTCGCTAGAAGCCTCTCGCACGAATTACGATCACGACATTCTGTACCACTGCATTATCCCTTCAGGTTACCTAAGTTCGTTGTTAGACTTTCTAACGTTCCTTTTATTTTCGTTTTAACATACGTATACTCGTCGGCCACTTATTTTTTATCCGTTTAAGTTCGATTTAATTTTCTAAATCTCAATAACTTAGTTTTCGCCGACTTGTACAAAACCCGCCAGTTCCTGCCTGCCAGTGACTAGCGGTGGATATTTTTCGGCTCTTTTAAATCAATTGGCTATTAAATTACGTTAATTCCGTTCGTTTCACGATTAATTATTACTTAAGTTACTCCAGTTAATTCGACGTTTTAATACCCCGAGACTTGTCGTCTGAGTTCTAAACCCCGTCTTTGGCGTGTGAAAGAATCGAGTCTTGGGAGCAGGCTGAGTTGAATAATCAGCTGCGAAAATAATTATTAAATTTATTTTAAACCTATCACGATAAATTATCCGTTCAGTTATATTAATTAGGCCCCGACGACTCTGTAGGAATTGTTTTACATTACATTCGATATTAGATCGATTACCAACGTCTTAAACTAATTAGTTGCATTTTAATACGAGTATTTTCATCACATTGGCTAAGATTGAATACTCGTTGGCCCTACAGAGTCATTCTAAAAGTTAGGCAAAATTCTCCAAAACACTTTTACGAAGGCTGGGATGATATAGCTCCAACTGGGCGTCTGCAGGATTTCCTGAGCGCTTCTAGAGCTCTGAGCCTTCGATTAAATTTTAATAAATTGATCAGTCAAAGCCGTGACAACTTTGTATCGACCCCTGGATTTTTCTCGGCTCCTTCTGAGCACTCCGGGGAAGAAATTTGAGTGTGGCCAGTTCTAGGGTAGGCCTAGCCTGACTTTGGTGAATACTAGTTTATTCCCCCCCTAGAATTTTGCGTCACATCTCTGGCGCCCGAACAGGGACCTATTATGAATATAATAATTACCAATTTCATAGCTGTTTACAGTTAATTATAAGTAAATGTCAGTAAATATAAACGCGAAAAACGTAATGTTTGGCAGGTCAGGATCTACTTCAGTGGGCCGAAGAAACCTTTTTTCTACCATGAATTTTGTTTCAATGTACTAAATGTTTGAAATTAAATAATTGTGAATGCAATAATATTTGATTTTTTAGCGATTTACAGCAATGTTTTAAGTAAGTATCAGGAAATTAACGCAAAAAACGTAATGTTTGGTGGTTTGAAAGTTGAAACTGCTTCAGTAGGCCTAAAAAATTCATTTTCTCTAAGGATATCATTTCAAAGTTCTAAATCTTTGTGAAATTTTGAAATATATGTATAATTAAAATCGTAATAACTACCAATTTTACAGCTAATTCAAGTTTAATATCAGCAAAAAATAGTACGGAAAATGTTCGGTAGTTAAGTGCCGCTGCCTAATTCCGAACGTGCGTTCGGAACTGTAGCTTGGCGCCTGTTTTGGCATCCTAATCCAAACGGCATTAAAATAATCTTTCAATAGATTCTTCATCTTTATTATGATTTTAAATGAAAGAAAAATAATTAAATCTTAACTGTTCTTGATCAGAAATTAGCAGGTACCATTATCAAAGCCTAGGGAATTTAACAGTTAAGGAAAAGGAAAAGATTTTTATGAAATTGCTAAAACTGTGCACACCATGATTGAATCAGTCACGGCTTATTGAATCTAGTGGTCAATTATGATCTAAAATCCCATTTGTCTGCAGGCAGATCAAAAGCCAACAAAACATAAATTTCAATTAGTGTTGATAAATTAAAACTTATTATCTGTGACAAAATTTGGCGCATTGAGTATTTGACCAATTTACTGGTAAGTGTAATGTCTTTCGGGCTTTTCTTAAAAGTATAATAGACACTGGGAATTCTGTACTTTTTAGCTTGGGAAAACAAGGAAAAATCAGTGAATTTGGTTTTATAACTTCTGCTGATAACCCTGTTAAACCTACCCACCTAGACCTTCCCTAGTCTAACCTACCTTCAAAGGTAGGTAGAATACTAGCCAGTATTTATGGTTGAAATTCCCGTCCCGGTCAGGTCTGGTGACTGGTGTGCAACTCATAATGAGTTTACCAGTGGTGCCATACACCATAAACTACGGAAAACCGGGAAATGTGCGTGGATTTTATGTGTAAGGAAAAAATCGGGAAATATCTGTGAGTTTTAAAAGTTCACCGGGGAAAATCACTAAATTGATCTTTATAGCACATTCATATATTTTTTTCACCCACAATAACAAAGAATCGTATTGTGTAAATCGTAGTGTGGTCTCTCTAGTGTCTTCAGTACAGTTCTGCCATTGCTTGCTACATGAACGCAGACATATTCTTATTGCGGTCAAGGTTAAGTCGATACCGGCAAGGTGGTAATAGTTGCTTGCACTGAACTAGAGCTACAACCGAAGGTAGTACTGAATGTGAGTTTTTATATGGAATCGGTATCGAGAATCATGAGTAATATTTCAGAACTTGTAACGGACCTAAATGGTAAGGGGGTTAATTTCAGACAGTATTATAACCAGGTTAAACTATTTTAAAGAAGACCTCAGTTTAATGTAAATAAGAACACGAGCCGACAAGACCTAGTGTTAGCAGAGGGAAATACGTGCTTTATTTGTTGTAAAAAAAAACATCAATTACCACAGAACGTCTTTTAAAAATTCAACAGCTAGATGTTGGCTGTTGAACCCTAGTCGTCACAACCTAATCACCATATAACTTGAAATGTAACCGGGTTGACAGATAGATGCATCTACAGACGATTCTCGGATGGAGAAGAAGTAAAACTAAGTTTTTTTTTAAAGAGTTTACTTCTTCCTATCTTCCGCTAATGTTCTGTTTAGTTCGGTTTTACTTCTTTGTCTCTTCCGTTCTTTTTCTTCCGACGTTCCTTTTGCATCAAGTCTCTGCCTTTTTTTCGTAACTCACTGACCAATCAGGAGTGTTTGATGTCGGCTGCTTGATTCTCAGCCTGTGAAGAAGGAAGTCCGCTATTCCGACTGGCCATTCTGTCTGAGTGTGTGTAGTTCAGAGTTGTTGTTCGTGATTCTCTCAACCGTGCCTCCGAAAGCCTAGTTAAGAGTAGCGTTCGTAGTTTGTGGTGAAACTTTTATTTCGTTTTTGTAAAGGTTCCAGTTTATTGTCGATTTTGTCGTTTGGTGAGTTGTGTAACAACCTTTTAGTTCTATTTATCTTTTTTTCTACCAGTTTTAGTTAGCAAAACTTTTGTAACTTGGAGGCTAGGCCTGACTTCAGCCCTAGTCCTACACTGTAAACCACTACAATTGCTGAGGAGTCGTAATTGGTGACACCCTCTTAAGATAAACGTTCTAAAATTCGTATTGTTACCTTCCTTATAATTTTTACTAATTTTTGGTTTTTTGTGACGGTCACAAGTTTGGCAAAAGTTTGCTCAAGTTGGCCACGTAAAGAAGTAGAAGTTTTATTTGTATTTTTACGTTTAAGAAGTATTTTATTTTTTGTTTCGACCTTTTGTTTTTATTTTTTATTCCACTGGCAACTTTGGACAGCTTTCTTTTAATAAACTCAGACTCTGTAGGACCTAGACTAGGCCTACTTTAACCCTTTGTTTGTTTCAGGTTCTCACAAGTAACCCTGTAGGTAGGCAGGGTCTACTTAGCTTATTTGCTGGCATAATTAGGTAGTTAGGAGCATTTTAAGTAGGTAGTTAGTACCCACAGAGTCATAGCAAAATAATCGGTCCCCCACAAACTTTCCTGACTAGTTTGGAGCTCTGATTAACCGAGACTACTTTTAACATTGAGACTTTCCTGAATCGCTATAGACTACTGGGAAACCCAGCGACCAGACTCGTGCGATTCCTGGAATTTCATCGATTGTTTTGGTGGCGGAATTTCCTGCATTACCGTACGAGTTTTTGCCGGCAGAAAATTTGCGTAAAAAACTGTATCGAATTGAGAAAGTCTATTATCGGCCTATCCGTATTTCAAATACAATTAATATTGAATAGGGGGGTAGCGAGCTGGTTTAGTGGTTAGAGCGTGGGACTTTGTTTCCTGAGGTCCCGGGTTCAAATCCCGCCAAATCACCAATGGATTTGATCTAAGTGACAATGCCACAACCCCAAGGTTTAGCCTGTAGGCTAGTAATGTGAAAAACAATCCCGGGCTCTTGCCTAGCGTTGTAGGACAAAAAAAAATTGAATAGGGCGTAATTCAAGAAAATATTCTTTTATTTACTTTCCGTAATTCAAGCTTTGGCCTTGAGTTTTGAGACCGAGTTTAGTTTGGCTTTGTTCCAGCTATGCGCAGATCGACACTGCTGCAACAGTTATTATAGAGCTGGCGTCGAGTCGCCGTATTCTGTCAGCAGACCTGAGCTTCGATTCTCGGAATCACATCCGAATCTTTTCTTAGGATTCGGTGAGTTTGAGATTCGGATTCAACACATCGACACATCCCTACATCTCAGGAGACTCGGCTCGTTACTTTATTTTAATAATATAGAAGTCACAGTAGAATAGATTAAGGAAGTCAAAGAAATGTCAAAGAAACTCACTTATTTTAGTAAAGAAGTCACTGATTTGATTACCTTTATTGTAATTTTATTGTTGAACCCGTTTATTTATTCCTACCTTTTTCTGACTCTGAAACATATTAAAATGGAAGTTGGCATATTCAAATTATATTTTGGATAGTTAGAAGTTTCTACCCAAGAAAGACACTCGTAAAGTAAAACCCGGGCAAGGAATTCCTGGAAAAAACAACAGTATTATTGGCCTGCGGTCGAAACCTCTTTTGCCAGCCCTTTTTTAGGGTAACTCTAATACTTAGCTTCAAGGTTGCACCTACCCCTTCTCCCTGCCCTACTCAACTGTTTGCCCTCGACTCACGTGTGTGGCGCGTGCTCCTTTTCGAGGTCATTGCTCAACCCCTGCACCCGACCCTTCTATTGTTTCTATTCTATTCTGACTTTTTTGAGAAATATTATTGCTTTACATAACAGTACAGTACAGTAGAACCTTGATTAACCGGGGGCGGATCAACCGGATGCCGGATCAACCGTGGTCAATTTATGCCTCTTAAATTATGTTGATAAATAACCTCAAAAATCCCAAGAAAAGTTTATGAATTGTGTTTTTACAGTCTAATATGTTGAAATTCACTTTATAATTAACTATTTCTGACCATTTTTATATGTGAGTAGGTTTCCCCATTATTGTTTTTGATCTATCACAGTTCATTTGACAAAAATAAATGGAAGCAAAAGAAAGAAATGGCCATCGAGAGCTTCAAGGTCAAGCTATCTGCTTGCACTGACAATCGACTGCTCCTTACACATCTGTCTGCTTGCTAATGCTATGTCACAACAGTTTGTGGTTGGGTGATAAGAAGTAACCATGGCAGCTTGTTGAATGTGTACCAAAACAAAACAAAAGAACAAAACACTACAAACTTTCTCCCACGCATTTGTCTTCTTAACTGTAACATGATATTTTGAAAGACAAGTGTTCTAAAGACACGGTTGTTGCTTCGCCGATTCTTGAAAATATCTGTATCAAAGCCACTCGGATCCATCACTGGCACACAATGAGAACAAAGGGAAGTATGCGGACTGCAGCGCGACGACCGACCGCTCATGTGAACGCTTCCATATGGCTACCTGTACTGCTACGCCGCTAGAGCGAGTGACTAGCTAGCTGCGATGAGTCGCGACACATGGCTAGGAAGCGGGGCCTGACGATGGTTTGCGACACCAAGCTCAAACGCGGCTCGATTGCCGTCGCCCTACGCTCGTATGAACGGCTCCTTTTGATCCTGTGGTCTGCTACCTAGTCCTGCTTACCTAGTCACAACCTAGTCAGCTAGATAAGTCGTTCGTGTGAACCGGGCCTTACTGTATGCTACTTTATTAAATTTACTGTACTGTAAAACAAAAATTGAAGCTATTTATGATAAGGGTTTTGTGTGGAATTGTATAGTTTGATTGTTTTGAGCCTTTTAAACTAAACTTTTTAAATTAAAATTTTTGGTTGGTTCGAAGTTCGTTATTGGTTCCTTGAGTCTCCTTGGGCTCCCCTCCAGCTTTCGCTGTTGCATGTCGGCTGATAAGGAAGGTCAGGTCAATCACCTGAAAACAGCGCCACACCGTTACCCTTGCCCCGAATTATAATTTAGAACAGTTACTTCCTTTTTAACTATCTCATTCTGTCTAGCTATATCGTATTTATTAAGTGACTATGCTATAACTTTAGCTGTTTTATGACATTGTCAGTAATTTGAAGAAATTCAAAGGACAATAAACACATTTCATTTCAACATCTGATCTGTCATTTTACTGTTGTTATTCTTGGGTGTGTGCTCAATGAAATCCGATTCTCTAAGAAATTTAATTTTTGTATTCAAAAGGTGTGAAAAACATGGTTAAAATAGGATTTAGTTAAAGACAAAAAATACCTGCGGGATTTAAAATGTTAACTGATCTTGACTCTTAATACCTTGGTGATACTTATAAATCTTTTCCTGATTTGTTTGCAGGTTGAAGAGGCAAACTATGAATCAGTATTGCAGCAAAAAAAGGAACTTGATGCAGTCAAGAAAAACAATATTAAAGAACAAGAATCTATGTCAGAAAGTGAAGAAGCGACAGACTCTGATGAACATTCTCCTGGAAGTTCTCTAGAGAGTGATGATTCTTCTTTAGGTGATAGTGATAAAGATGATTCTCTCTCAGAAAGTGACGACGAGGATAGGAGAACAAGCATATTCAAGGCAAGAAGAGCTTCTAGAGATATACTAAAGAAAAAAATGAAAAGTAAAACCGTTAATACTCATTTGAAAGTAAATTCACTACGGAAAAGTCTTGTAGTTGATGCTATTAAATCTTTCACAAATTCACCACAGAAAAGCCTTGTTGTGGATGATATTAAATCCTCCAATTCCTTTACTCCAACACAATTGAGGCCTCGCAAAAGTCTGAATAAAAACATAACATCTTCGGTTGAAAGAACTCAGTTATCTGGAAAAAAGAGAAAAGCTGTCCTTCAAACTCCCTCAGAGAAGAAATTAAATGTTTCACTAACAGCAATGGCAGTTAACAACAGTCAAGAAGACAAAAATTGCAATACTCCTTCTGGTACAATAAAGAAACTCATCAAGGCTGGGAAAAACTCTGCAAAAAGTACACCAAAAGAAAAGGCTGCCAGTCAGGGTTTGCCAACCAAACAGAATTCATCAAAGAAAACCCCTAAGAAAGAAGTAAAATTACTAAAAGAAGTTTCACCTGCTACTCCAAAGTCACCATCAGGGAAGAAACTGAGGCACAGACAATTGAAAAACATTTTGAGTTCTTAGTAAATAAGCTTTAGAATTCAAAACACCCTTCCTCAGCATTATCTGTACATCAACTTTATCTGTTAACAATGTTAAAACTATTGGTGATATCTTATTCATTTTTATGAAATTTCTCATATAAGGAATAAGCTATTACCGTAGGTATCAGATCGCAAAAGAGTTAGGAATCAGCATCATTGGTCCCTGGGAATGGGGTTTAGTGGGGTGAAAGTTTAAAAAATAGTAATTTTCAGTTTTGGCAACAGTTGTGTTGTAGTTTTTTGTTGTTGTTTGATTTACTTAATCTTTTTCCTTTCTTCCCAAGAAGGACATAGGGCTGTGACAAACTTTCTTTTCATTATATCACCAAAAATGACTTGCTTTTGCTCTTATTAACAGCTCTCCATTTTTGTCATCATTTTATGGCCAAAACTTGTTGGTTATTCGTCTGAGACATTTGTTGAACACTTGTGTGTGTTACAGCTTTTGTGACCTTTAGTTAGCATGTTTATATTTTGACCAAATTTGGCAAATTTATTTAATATATACTAAGCTATAAAATTTTACCCAAACACTTAGAGTCCCGCAAACTCGGCACTCGATAACCCGGCAGTCTGGATAACTCGGCCATCACATTGCTCAGAAAATTAGTTATTTTTTGAGTTAAATATGTATGTACAGTATACATTTTTTTATTTCCTAAGGCACCAAGGATTTGTTTTAGTCTATCTGATGACTTAATACTGACTTGTAATATAAATATATAAAAAGACGGTTGAAAAGCTTAAAAATTGTATTGTTCTAATTTTTAACGATAGTTCCTGATAACCTGGCATATCACAAACTCGGCACCCTTCCAGTCCACATTACGCAGAGTTTGTGGGACTCTACTGTATAACCTCTCTGTAGCAGCAAACCTTTAACCAAGAAGTTCAGTTACACACAGTCACAAAGGTGGAATTCAAGTAGTTAATGAGTACTTTTTAATGCTCACATGTTTAATTGTAACAACTTTTATGTAAATTAATATGCTCCAGGAACAAGATTGGCACTTCAGTTGAAGTCTTCACTGCCAGCAGTTCGGCATGCTGCAGCTAACATAAGACAGATCATTTGAAGATTCTTAGATGAAAGTATAATAGAATCAATTTTATTCTATGTATTGCTGTTTTCTTAATTTTTGTTTATTATTGCTAATATTATTGTTATTATTACTTGTTTACATATTTATTTATTTTGTAGCTTGTTTTCATAGTTGACAGAAAATAGTAATGTATAAGTCTAACAAAGATTGGAGAATAAGTGGAATATAAAAAGGGAATAAATCTAGGAATCTTAAGTTCAAATAGGCAAATGAAAATTCACTTAGTCTGCAGGTTTACTACAACAAGGGTATTTAGACCTGATTATTGGAAGCAAATTTAATGTTTTTTTTTAAAATTTGTAAGATGTGCAAATTTGGTCTGGCTGTATATTGTTATCTTATTAATGTTTTAGGTTTTTGTATTTGACTATAGTATTTTGTATACTTCCCCCGTGCGGTTTCCGGGGATAGAATAGGACCGCAGCTTCCCCGGCTTGTCGTAAGAGGCGACTAACAGGGGGGGAGATCCTTCTCTTCATGCTCCCTTCTTTCTCTCAGGCCTTTCTTTTTGTCTAACCTTTTTTAGGGGCTCTCTTGCCTTTCTTTGCTGTTCTGCCTTTTTGTGGTGGTAATCCTATTGCTTCCCTTGCTCCTGCAGTCTGTTCTGGTTTTATTCCCTGTGTTGGGAATGGGGTTTTTATTCTCTGTGTTGAGGATACGGTTTTGTATTCCCTGTGTTGGGAACAGGGTTTTTATTCATCCTGAGTTTGGGTTGTTATAATATGTATTTCATACATAAGTAATTAATATAAACAAATAAGTAAGAAAGCAATATATGTTAACTAATATTGACAATAATAATAATAATAATATCAACAATAATTAACAAATAACAAGTCTTATTTTATAATTCCTAGAGAGTCTTGTCCTTTCCTCTTCAGCTTTTATTGTGGTGACGATCCTTTTGCTTTGCTTTTCCTGCATATTTTCTAGTCTTTCCTGTGTTGGGAATAGCTCTCTTGGCTGGTATTTTTAGTGTTGTCATCAGCCTCGACTTCCTCTTTCTTTGTAGTAGGCTTTTTTCCTTTAACCATTGTACACTCAGAATTTGTGCTGGATTAAATTTGAGACACTAATCGCTACTATTAAATCCCGTTTCAAGAATAAGCCTAGTTAGGATCAGCAATAACCGATAAACCGGTGAAATAAATGAATAACCATATAATTAACATATATATATATATATATATATATATATATTAATAATATATATAATTAAAATAAACAAATAAGTAAGAAAGAAATATAAATATGTAAACGGATATTAATAATAACAAACCATAATAATAATATTAACAAATATAACAACAACAGCTTTTTTTGCCTCTGTAATGGCGATCGGCTGCATTGATCCTGTGAGGGTTGTTTCTTATCTAAACTTTGCTCCTGCTTTAAGCATCAAATCTCCTTTCAATATGCAATGGTGTGTAACCTTCTTATTTTACTGTCAAGATCACATTGCTCTTTATTAATAGATAAAAATTGGGTATGAAGAGTCAGGAAAGGGTTAAACTAAAGTGCAAATCTCGTTCCTGGATCTCATAATTCGGGAAATGGTAATCTTAAGCATTGTATAGATAATCTGTGTTATGAATAAATGTTTTTTTCCTAAATGCTTACATTATTTTCCTTGAAACTGATCTAGTCTATTCTAATCTATATTTTGATTAAGAATGAATTGTGTTTTTCCTACACATATGCAGTATTATAACACTAAAGGATCTTAAGTAAGTGATTAAACTCATTGAAACCAACCAACCAGGAAACAGTTTTCGGCTTAGATAGTCTGTACCCAGGAAAATCTAGATTAGAATTATTATTGGGTGCTTACAAATTTCTTGAACTTAGTTTCATAATTAAATACAATGTAATGTTACCCACGTGTGTCAATGAATAATTTAAACTATGGAATTATCTAGAAACTCAACAATAATGTAACAAAGTTGTCGATGAACGTTACTTGACTAACTACTGTACTAATATTTACCACAAAACTAATAACAACAATTAAACGAAATAATCTGCTTGGAATAATTCAGTAAGGCCACCAGAAATTATGCGAATCGGTGTATTGTTAATCAACACTCCTTTTCTTTTGTACTCTCTTTTATAAATAGGCCATTATGTGCATGCGCAAGCTGAGGTGCCCGTGGGTACAGAACGTCACGTTATGTCTTAAAATGTAAACAAAATGACAATAATGGCGGAATGTTTTCTCATAAGGCCCATGTTAAATTTTCAAAAGTTTGTACTCATATTATGGCGAAAATAGATTTTTCCTGGCTATACCACTGGTCTAGAACTTATTTTTGACACAGAACTTAGTTATTCCGTAAATATCAACGTTTTTGTTAGAGCCGATTCCCAGATCGAGTTGACAAGTATTCAAACTTTACTCGTATTATATATAGGATTATATATTGCAGTTAACTGTGTTTCTTTTTAAATACCTCAAAAAGGCTAATTGTACGAAAAAATGTTAAGAAAACTTTTTTTTTAATTTCGTTTTATATATAACATTTTTGTGTAAAAATATGGCAAAATTAAGGGTTCTCCGACTAACTTTGTTTTATTTTTACACAAAAAACTTTATATTTCAGTTATCTTTCGTCCGATCTTTTTGATCTTGGTGTTGTTTGATAGGGAATTAAAAATGCTAAAGAAAAGTATTCTTGACATTACAAATTTCTTGAACTTAGTTTCATAATTAAATACAATTTAATGTTACCCACGTGCGTCAATGAATAATTTAAACTATGGAATTATCTAGAAGCTCAACAATAATGTAACAAAGTTGTCGATGAACGTTACTTGACTAACTACTGTAAAAACCCTTGTTATACCTTTTGTATCATAACATTTAAAAACACCGAGCCCAAAAATGAGTGATATTTAGTATGAGTTAAATACACATAAATTTCCTCAGAGTTGCAATAATGACGCCAGTGCTTGAGGGTGGCCGTGCTATTACTGTCCCCCTCACCTGTTTGACCTGGTTAGTGAATGGGGCTAATGACCAGGTTCTTAGTGCATGGTGAAACAATGCAATAAGTTCTGCCGTTTATTCCATTTACCACCTTGTAGAAAACAATGTAGCTTTTAGCTTAAAACAATCTCATAAACAACCAGCTAAATACCGGTATGTGTTTCCTGATTTTTTTCGGGGAGAGAGAAGTTGAAATTACTGAAGCCCTTCTCATCAAAGCCTTAGGCTAGGTATGACTTTCCCCAGATCCATCTTAAACATTTAATAAATGTTGTTGATTTAAATGGAATGGAAAATAATGTTCTGTACATGATTATTAATTATGATTTTAATAGCTTTATCAAACGATCTTTGGAAGGATGTGGTTTCTAGCAATGTACTGTTAAAATCATATTTTAAACAAAACGTGAAAAATAAGCTGGAATTAATATAGTGGGGCCTCATTCACATTGTACTTAACATTGAAATTCATTTGACTTAGATTCTCTAAGGCTTCTACAGGGTGTCCATAAAAAACGTTTCAGGACTTTGGGAAATGAATCCTCATATCAAAAGGAAGAAAAAAGTTTATGTGAAGGTATGTCCGAAAATGCATATTTACCCAGTTATCCGCCATTTTGATTTTTATACAAAAATAATTTTAACTGTGGAGTTTTTTGTTCGATGATTATGAAATTTGGTATCCATGTTAACATACACAATACCTATAATAGAAAAAATAATAAAGTTGTTCCGATTGTAAATTTCAAAATGGTGGCCGTTTGAATTTTTCTAACTTAAATACTTAAATGTGTAAAAATAACATTTTAACATTTTTTCGTACAATTAGCCGTTTTTGAGCTATTTAAGTTAGAAAAATTCAAACGGTCGCCATTTTAAAATTTACAATCGAAACAACTTTATTATTTTTTCTATTATAGGTATTGTGTATGTTAACATGGATACCAAATTTCATAATCATCGAACAAAAAACTCCACAGTTAAAATTATTTTTGTATAAAAATCAAAATGGCGGATAACTGGGTAAATATGCATTTTCGGACATACCTTCACATAAACTTTTTTCTTCCTTTTGATATGAGGATTCATTTCCCAAAGTCCTGAAACGTTTTTTATGGACACCCTGTAGAAGCCTTAGAGAATCTAAGTCAAATGAATTTCAATGTTAAGTACAATGTGAATGAGGCCCCACTATATTAATTCCAGCTTATTTTTCACGTTTTGTTTAAAATATGATTTTAACAGTACATTGCTAGAAACCACATCCTTCCAAAGATCGTTTGATAAAGCTATTAAAATCATAATTAATAATCATGTACAGAACATTATTTTCCATTCCATTTAAATCAACAACATTTATTAAATGTTTAAGATGGATCTGGGGAAAGTCATACCTAGCCTAAGGCTTTGATGAGAAGGGCTTCAGTAATTTCAACTTCTCTCTCCCCGAAAAAAATCAGGAAACACATACCGGTATTTAGCTGGTTGTTTATGAGATTGTTTTAAGCTAAAAGCTACATTGTTTTCTACAAGGTGATAAATGGAATAAACGGCAGAACTTATTGCATTGTTTCACCATGCACTAAGAACCTGGTCATTAGCCCCATTCACTAACCAGGTCAAACAGGTGAGGGGGACAGTAATAGCACGGCCACCCTCAAGCACTGGCGTCATTATTGCAACTCTGAGGAAATTTATGTGTATTTAACTCATACTAAATATCACTCATTTTTGGGCTCGGTGTTTTTAAATGTTATGATACAAAAGGTATAACAAGGGTTTTTACAGTAGTTAGTCAAGTAACGTTCATCGACAACTTTGTTACATTATTGTTGAGCTTCTAGATAATTCCATAGTTTAAATTATTCATTGACGCACGTGGGTAACATTAAATTGTATTTAATTATGAAACTAAGTTCAAGAAATTTGTAATGTCAAGAATACTTTTCTTTAGCATTTTTAATTCCCTATCAAACAACACCAAGATCAAAAAGATCGGACGAAAGATAACTGAAATATAAAGTTTTTTGTGTAAAAATAAAACAAAGTTAGTCGGAGAACCCTTAATTTTGCCATATTTTTACACAAAAATGTTATATATAAAACGAAATTAAAAAAAAAGTTTTCTTAACATTTTTTCGTACAATTAGCCTTTTTGAGGTATTTAAAAAGAAACACAGTTAACTGCAATATATAATCCTATATATAATACGAGTAAAGTTTGAATACTTGTCAACTCGATCTGGGAATCGGCTCTAACAAAAACGTTTATATTTACGGAATAACTAAGTTCTGTGTCAAAAATAAGTTCTAGACCAGTGGTATAGCCAGGAAAAATCTATTTTCGCCATAATATGAGTACAAACTTTTGAAAATTTAACATGGGCCTTATGAGAAAACATTCTGCCATTATTGTCATTTTGTTTACATTTTAAGACATAACGTGACGTTCTGTACCCACGGGCACCTCAGCTTGCGCATGCACATAATGGCCTATTTATAAAAGAGAGTACAAAAGAAAAGGAGTGTTGATTAACAATACACCGATTCGCATAATTTCTGGTGGCCTTACTGAATTATTCCAAGCAGATTATTTCGTTTAATTGTTGTTATTAGTTTTGTGGTAAATATTAGTCCGGAGTGTGGTAACTGTTTATGACGATTAGATTAAGGTATCTACAATCCTAAAATGCTATGGGAAGGGAGGAAAACATGGTCCGCGACGAAGGAAGCGGTGAAGGAAGTAGTAAAGGTGAGTAGTCCTGAGTGTGGGAACTGTTTATGACGATTAGATTAAGGTATCTACAATCCTAAAATGCTATGGGAAGGGAGGAAAACAGGTCCGCGGCGTAGGAAGTGGTGAAGGAAGTAGTAAAGGCGAGTAGTCCGGAGTGTGGGAACTATTAATTACGATTAGATTAAGGTATCTGTTATCCTAAAATGCTATGGGAAGGGAGGGAAACATGGTCCGCGACGAAGGAAGCGGTGAAGGAAGTAGTAAAGGTGAGTAGTCCTGAGTGTGGGAACTGTTTATGAAGATTAGATTAAGGTATCTACAAAATTCTAAAATGCTATGGGAAGGGAGGGAAACAGGTCCGCGGCGCAGGAAGTGGTGAAGGAAGTAGTAAAGGCGAGTAGTCCGGAGTGTGGGAACTGTTAATGACGATTAGATTGAGGTATCTGTTATCCTAAAATGCTATGGGCTGGGAGGGAAACATGGTCCGTGACGAAGGAAGCGGTGAAGGAAGTAGTAAAGGTGAGTAGTCCGGAGTGTGGGAACTGTTTATGACGATTAGATTACGGTATCTGTTATCCTAAAATGCTATGGGAAGGGAGGGAAACAGGTCCGTGACGTAGGAAGTCGTGATGGAAGCAGTAAAGGTGAGCGGTCCGGAGTGTGGGAACTGTTTATGACGATTAGATTAAGGTATCCACAATCTTAAAATGCTATGGGAAGGGAGGGAAATAGGTCCGCGGCGTAGGAAGTGGCGAAGGAAGTAGTAAAGGCGAGTAGTCCGGAGTGTGGGAACTGTTAACGACGATTAGATTAAGGTATCTACAATCTTAAAATGCTATGGGAAGGTAGGAAAACAGGTCCAAAACGTAGGAAGTGGTAAAGGAAGTAGT